TTTTCTAAACTGCATTATATAACATTCATAAATAATTGTTAGATCGTTAAGATATTTATATTTTTTACTATTATGCTCGTGTTCGTAGTACTATTTCATTTTTTGTTCATCCATATTTAATGGAATAATTATACATATGTATAATTACTTTTATTCTCATATCACAATCAAAAGAATTTCCAATTAACACATCTGAGTAATTAAGAATCAAGAAATAGATACAACCTTACAACCAACGATTTGGATGACAGTCATTCAGAGATTGACGCTATTCTATTGTGACTTGCACGTCAAAAATAAAATGTGTCCTACATTGAAAACGATCTCGAAGAAAGAAAGAAAGAAAGATATATAGACAGGAAGAGGTATAATGTAAAAATGTATTGAACGCATATCTTCTCAGACAATGGTTTAAAAACGACGTACAAAAGATAATACAATGAAAAAAATGAGGGCAATGATCGAATGAAAAATATTCAATAAAACGGCTATTTATTTCTTCCGTTTCTTTATCAAAGTTTTATGGTTTTCTTTACATAACGTCTGCATTCTTACTCCATGATTCTTCCTTTATAAATAATCATATTAGTGGTAAGTAATCACTCTAATTACTATTAATCACATTGTAAACGATGATTTTTTTTCTTTTATAATTTATCGACGATAAAAATAATTATTCTAATTGTATTTACCGACTTCGTATCGTTAATCTTTGGTCAAAGATAAAACTAATTGCGGTATTAGCTTATGCCGTCTCTAATGCCGTTTGTAATTTATAATTTAACCATTATTTTTCTAAATTTATATTGGTATTTATTTTGTATGAGAAAAAGAAGATTGCCTAATCATCACGATTCGAAACAGACATAAACGAGAATGCGCAATCACGTTTAATGACTGTAGTGAAAACATAGTGAAAACTGTCAAGCATAGAATAAAAAAGTCGTGCACGCATTGCGCGATACACAGAATGGCAAAGATGTGTCTCCACTTTATTATCGTAGAAAAATTAACTAAAAGTAAAAGTTCTACATTCTTTAAAAAAAATGCCTTTTACTGTTTGTGAATTTAATTCTTACATCGATTTGCCAGGTAAAAGAGTAAAAAGACATCATTCAGTATCATTATTCAAGCGTCAACGAAGTTCAAGTTATTAAATTGTCTGACAGTGTCGTGTTTCGACGATTCGACTATGAAACAAAGTGTTCAGAAGTACACAACTCATCCAAAGGTATAGTATATTTTATTTAAATTTCGAACCGAGATGAAATGCAATCAAAAAGATCATTTTTTTCGTAAACATCTTCACATCTTTTTTTACAATTAAATCCATCCGTATTGAATTTTAATCCTGATTACGAGCTTCTCTTCGTTTCTCCGTTTCTCCGTGAAACATTAACCTTCACCCAAACTGACGGGTTGATCGATAAAAAGGATTCGATCATTTAATCGACTCGGCCTTGCCGTCTTCATAACGTTGCATTTTGAATAATTCTTGAACGTGCTCGCGTAATACCGGTAACGCGTATCACCGTTTTCCCACGTTTCATCGGTTGCCTTGTCCTAACGCTGACAATCGCCATTTTCTGTCTTCGTATTGTGACTTCGTAGTGCAATGTGAAAGATATGATGATGATTTGCAATCGTGTGTATATCGAAAGAGGTGAATGTAAAAAATTAATTTAGATGAAGATTCGATGGTAACGTAGATAACATTAAGGAAACGTGGATTGAGGAAATATCACGAAGATTATTTTTCTTATTGCATATATATATAGTATACGTATTGTATCGCATAGTATTGCATTCGTCAACAAACGTATATATTATGTATTAACGAGTTAGCTCGTTAATTAGCTCAATCTTTTCTATCCTGTCTAAATGTAAATATTACGTATCACTTTGTTATTGTATTTAAAGTAGAAATATTTAAATTGTCAGCTAGTAAATATTATGATTCCCTATTTGCATAAATCATTCTCCATTCGCTTTGCAAATAGACCTGTTTTATGTCGTAATATTATAACTTTTTTTTTTAAACAAAGAAAAGGAATGATGGAAATAAGAAAAATACGGAGTTTAGAAAAAAAATAGAAGATGAAAATCGAAGATACTTTAGAAAATATATTCAAGATAGAGATCACGAGATACAACATGAATTCCAATTATTTATATTAGTGAAAAATCCTGTTCTCTTATGCGAATAAAACAGAGTTCTATATCTCATATATTTTAACTGGAAAAGGATAATATACGCAGAAGATGTATCAAGAACGGAGAAAAAAAGTCGAAGAAACGCATGGATGCGTCTCGTAAACGGTGGCGTACTTGAACCCAGAATTGGGGCCAGTACGTGGGACCGGTGTACCTTTTATCTCTTGACAGGATTAGCATTGTCGAAGTTGTGCTGGGAGAACACGAGGCGCGCTTTTAAAGTAAAAACCACGATATTGCGTTACCGCTTCTGGTGCGGCATTGAGGCCGCCTGAATTTGCGTTTCGTTCTTTCGAATTCCTTCTCCGCGTTAATTCAATTTCGCTGGCGAAGACCCCGGTAATTGGTTACGTGCGCGCGATACGTGATCTTGTATTTTTCGAAACCTGTGTTAAATCGCTAAATACGCTTCCTCTTTGAGCGCAGTGAACAATTGAACGAGTTAGATAGAATCTATTTTTATAATAGAACTTTTAGATGGATCGTAAAATAGATCTAGATTTTTATTCAATACAAGTCATTTTTGCACAAGCACAGCGAAAAAGATTGGGATAGAATTTAGAATCTACGTAGATCGAATTGTTTTCCTGCAGGAACAAAAGTTACAATTTTACAATTCCCGCGTTGCGCAAGCAACCAGCTCCATTATACATGGAATAAAACGTACACACGAATAGCAAAACTTCGCCACGGTGATTCAAGGTCTGACGAACTGTAAAGGATAGATAGTTGGTAGGCATTTTTCAAATCATCGTGAGACTATCCTCGGCAGGGTGCGGTTGTTTATTGGATTTCTTGACGATCTATGGGTTTAATCGCTGTCAAGATGATGCGTCACGCAAGTGGACGCACGTTTCACGATCGATGAAAACGAGTGCATGGCGATCACCTTGAACAAATGCTCGCGATATATTAATCGTTCATTTTCTTCGCGCTGTTTCCCACCGTTTTTATCATATTATTTGCAAAATTGTGCACGATTGGAATTGATTGCCAGCGACGATATAACATCGAGCAAATCGATTATTGGTTCTCTTGTAAAGAGAAACTTATAAATTGAATTATATAATAATTATTGAAATTGTAATAGAAATAAGAATCTTTACGATTAATTTTACGTCGACTAGACATAAAATTGAGCCAATTCACACGACGGTTATCTCATACTATTAAAAAAACTGAATCATCATCCGCTTAGAAAAAAAAAAAAATAGAAACGGAGGAAGATTAATCACGTCGAGTCGAAAACCGACTGTCGAACAATGAGTATTAAACGTGCAATTTCAACCCTGTCGTCTTCTCACGACCATTGCAACGTTTATTAAAACTTGCAAAATTATGAGTCACGATTTCAATTAAAGGCTGATGCGACGGTGACACAATGGTGTTTAAGAATTCTCAGGGAGGTACAGGTACAACCGAAGCAGGAAGCAACACCGATCAGATTCTCTCTCAAAGATAATTGCGTAATTAGGCGTGCGGATAGCGATGAATCATTCGCGTGAATCGACTCATTTTTTTTTTTTTCACTTTCGTAGAATTCGTCGATTGATGTTTCATATGCAAATCGTGTTATTAATGTTTCTTTTTTCATCGTCAATATTTTTCAATAGTCACTTCCTAATATTTCTCTCTTTTGTAACGCGTTTTGTAATCAAATAAACGACAATTCTTATCGTTCCCTTTCAAGCATCCCTTCAAATATCGAGAATAACATCTATCATACCCTCTTCATCCATCATTCGTGAGTCTCCATCTATCTTCCATCCATCCCGTCTTCTATCAATTTTGATCGATTACCATAATCACAGTGGAACCCTTTCGTGATCTTCTCACAGAGGTTAATAAATTTTCCAAAATTTTCTTATCAGAAGACTATAAACGAGTCTCGATTCTTCGAGATGGATGCAATGGCCCGATAAAACTGAAGGACGAAAAATTGTAAAATTGTTACAAGAGAGGCGAAAGAGGCGCGTGCCCGACTCCTTGAGACAATGAGGCTCATTGAGAGAGGTCGACGACGGTTGTCAACGTGAGAGCTTGGAGCTTTCGTAATCGACCAGCAGGTCGATTCCTCGATTCCTCCTTCTCACTGGCCTATTTTCGTCTAGTAACGTCCCTCCATCGAATTTCTTCTTTGATCAACGTGTCTCGTATAAGATTTTCATCAATCAACGAGTCAACGAACATCTTCTCTTAATATCATTTTCAATTACTTGAAAAAAAAGAATAGTGAATGGTGGTTAATTTGAACGAAGGTTTTAAAAATAATAGTAAAATAATAGGAAGAAGAAAATATGCATAGCTATTATGCATCAGAAGAAACAACGTCATTAACAACGGAATAAAAAGAGCGGCAAAAACTCTGACCTATTTGATCTAAACGGATTCGTGCCGATGATTTCAATGTCCATATCATAAACTCAGGCTCGTAAATCTTCGATATTATAATCCTGCAACTAAAACTGTAATTGCATCGTGAGAAAAAATTCATTGCGAGCAGTGAGAAAAATTAATACAAGAGCCGTGATCTCAAATGTTAAATTTTTCACTTCTTTTCAAAATCTGCGAAAAATTCCATTGCAATTCCATTGAACGCGTTAAGTTTCTTCATATCTTCAACCGAAACTCGATGATGGACCACTTTCACGAGCTCGATCATCTTTGGCAAAATCGTCATCTCTTTTTCCACCATTTTTCCCAAGGCCCTTCCCCCAATTCCATCCTCCCACGCTTGTCCACGAATCGAGACGTCGTCGACGACGACACCAAGGTGTGCGGATCCCCACCTCTCGCCACGGATGACCTCCCCCGTGGTCGAACTGCTTCGCAGGGATAAATATACACTTGGCGTCGGCCACGAGGCTTTTAGCAACGGCAGAACGAAACTGCCGCTCCTCAACAACAATCATCGCCGCGTCTCATTGCCCAGAATCGTGAGATCGGAGCGCGCCTGCTGCTCGATCGACGCCAACAAACAGAGAAATTTGGTTCGCCCGTTTAAGGGGATGAAAAGATCGATAGTAAGTCTCTTCGAGTCGAGATCATGGTTCACCGAATTATCACTGAATTATTGCCGGAGAACGTTGCTTTGGATTGGAGAACGTTGGAGGATGTGGAAGAAGGTTTCTGTAGGAGGGTGAAAGTGTTGCACGTGAATGGGATGGAAATTTGGGGAGGGGTTGATGTACGGATCGGTGAATCTGTTAATTGGAGTTAATTTCATGAGTTTGTTGTTGTTGTGAGAGAGAAAGTGCATAGATTTGAAGTTTAAGTTTTTTTGATTTGGTGCAATTGTACGCGATTGTTCAATCCTGCAATTCTTCTAACGTATACGTTTTCCAATGGATAATGAGATTTTTTTTAAGACGAAGATTCGTCTTAATAAAAGTGCATGCATGAATTTAATAAAAAAAAAAAATATATGAGTAAGAATTGAATGGAGGCTGTTAATTGAGAAATCCGCGATTAAGATATATACAGCAAGTTTCTCACGTGTCGATTAATTGCATCGCAATCGTGCTCGAGGATCAAACATTCAAGGTTGCAGGATCGGTGCGCGATCGTAGATGACCCACTACTCTGCATGAATAGCCTTTCATGCTGAAAGGAGGAAATACGTAACGTGAAGACGTAATAACAAAGTAGACAAATCAATTGCACGTAAACGTTCCGCTCGTAATACGCGGGGCATGATTTATGAAAACAACGAACAGTATATCTACTATTGGTCGTGAAATTTATCGGTGTTCTCGTTATTTCAAATCGCGCAATTCGTGTATTTTTCTTTATCGGTATCAATAATTGGAATCAAATTTTCAAATTTTTAAAGAATGTTGAAGAAAGGTTTATCGATATGTTTTTGAAACTGAAAAGGGAACGAACGAATCGCGTGTAACATTCGTCATTTTTATCGACGTGTTCGATATTGGCGCCATAAATATCTTCTATCGGCGATTGATGGGAACACATTTAAGGAAGAAATATGAAAGAAATTTGTGCTCGTGGACGGTTCTGACTTTATCCTTATTATTTTTCAGACGATGCATTCTTGGATTCTTTTCGGTTTATTCTCCTTGGTTCACGGTCAATTGGATATACCGTCCCTGAATGAAAATCCTCGCGGCAATTTTGGCAGACGGCCTCCACCTACGGAGGGTGAGTTGCAAGATATTTTAGCCAGGTTGGACTTCCTTGGTACCGAGAGATGCAGCGCAAATGTAGCTGCGCAATGGTCCTACGAAACGGACGTGAACGAATACACGCAGATACAGGCGGTAAGTACGAAATATCCACCGGCATATCGTTCAATTCTGTTTAAAATTCCACCCATGTGTAATTTGAGTTACAATTTCCACGAATTCGTGACCGAAACACCCGCATACGCGATAAAAGTTTTCGAGTTTCGGGTGAAAAAAATGTACGAGAACGATGAGATCCGGTTTATCATCGGGCCCCTCGGTTATCATTCAACTTTCTTCCTTTCCATTCCGAAAGTCACCAATTTGCCGCGATGAATTCAGTTGGAATTTAATTCAACCGAAAATATACTAAATCATAAACTAACGAGCCTCTTCATTCAATTCTACGGACTTAATTATCCTCGTCATCGCTTAACGAAGCGTTTAATTTGGAAATTTCAAGGCCATTTATTTCAATAATCTACACAATTAATTAACTAATTCCAAATTTCTCTGTATCTCAAGACACTTGGATAATTGACATCAGTTGCAAAATTCGAGCATTTTTTTCCATATCCTTCTCCAGAGATCAGACATCCCTGCACTGTCTTAACCCATATTCCAAAATCGCGTATTCGAATAGTGTGGATGTTCCTCGATGACACCTCGACCTCGACCTGCTCCGTGAGACCGTGGAGACGTCATCGGGGCTGTCAGAATCGCGATTTCGCGTGCACGTTTCCTCGGTGGCCGGCCTTTGTTGTCCGCGTAGGGGCCGAACACCTTCGCGGGAAACATTCCCACCGGTTGCCATTGTGGCATTCGGTTGTATCCCGAATGATTTCGCAACGGAACATCGGTTCGAGTCAAGGAATGGAAATCTCCAGCCTTCAACGCGAAACCCGCTATGCTAGTCGCGTGATGCTAATGACAATAGTCGTGTCTTCGTTTTCGTCTCCTTTTTTTTCTTTTTTTTCCTTCGTTATTCTCGAATACTTGGGGGAAGCTCGTCTATGGAGACGATGTCGAAGGCACGAGATTCTTCCATGTTGCTTAATTCTACGTCGAGGAGTTTGAATGTGTGTTATTAGTAAGGAATTTATGATATATTATGTTTAATAAATATACAAAATGATTTTCGAAAAGATGATTTTATTCTTAGATGGGGGAATTGGAGAAGAAATCGTTCAAGAATTTTCTTCATTCCTCTATGTATGTATCTATGAGGTGAAAAGGAAATTAGGCGTTTATTTTACGTTTCCTTTTAACTCGAATTCTTCTATGGTGATTGAACTTTTTCCAATGACCCATAAAGAAACCTGTGTCCACTTTCTCGAGTATTTTCCTTTCCTCCAACGCTTTCGTCTATCTCTAATCCTAGGAAGAGTGGAGATAACTGTGTTTATCGGTAACGGTAAACCTGGCGTTGGTCGATTTGCACTTCGAACCAGTTCCACATGGACAAGCGCCTTCCACACTGATTACTACCTTGCTCTTCGATATTCCAGAGACTTTACCATTGCAAAATAATACGATCATCGATGAATAAAAAGTAAATAATGTTACAAAATCGATCTGTTGAGTAACGAGATAAAAAAATATTCCAGCTCGAAGCTCAGAGAATATACGCAGACTTTCAGAATCAGGCTTGGTTCCTGATTTCGAGGATCGATAAAAATAATATCAGGGATCCTGCGATCAGAAGACGTCTCAGATATTTGTCCGCGGTTGGTCCATCGGCTCTTCCACCGGATCAATTGGACAGGGTAAATAACAATTACGTAACTAATACGTAAAAATTATTTGATGAATCGATTGATTTCTTGTTACATTTTTTCTAACGAATAAAAAGGAACTTGATTTTACGTGTTAAAAATATGAAAAATTTAACAGATATATTTAAAAAAAGAAAAAGGATAAAAGGAAAAGAACAAAGTAAAACTATTTGATTATAAAAATTAATAATATACCCCGTTTTTTTTTCATGGTCTGTAAACATGAATGTAAGAAACATGAATAATAACAAGAATAAAACAATCGATTCTATTACTCGTATAAAAAATGCAAATGATCGTTAATCTTCGCAAAAGAAAAAAAAAGAAGTAATCGAATCTATTCACTCCACCATTCACTTCCGTTTCAAGTTAGTCGCGTAATAGATTCTTTCGAATAGGAAATATCCATGTAGAATAGATTTCATTTCCTAATAAATGTTCATTTTTACAACAATAAGAAAAAGAAGAAGAAACGAAAAAAGAATCTATCAGATACAATCTCTTCCACCTTTTCTTTTTATATTTCTTTTCTTACTTATTTATTCTGCCAATAACATTTTCTCTTTTCTTCCTTTTTCTCTTATCTTTCCTCCTTTCTTATTTCTTCCTTATTTTTCTTTTTCTTTCTTTTTTTTTTTTTTTCCAGTACAATCGCGTGATCAACGATATGCTGGCAGTGTACAACGAGGCTACCATTTGCGCGTACAACGATCCCTTCCGGTGCGGGCTGCGGTTGTATCCAGGTAATGAATAATATCCTCGAATTGTCCGTGAAGGAAAAACAAACAACGATACGATTTTCACGGCTGGCAAGTCGGCGAAATTGCCACGACACGCGTAAGCGGTTGTTACGCATAAGAAAGTGCCTCTCTAACACGCAAACACGATCGAATACGATAAATGTTTCATCGTTGCGCGTTAAAAGAAGGAGGATTCATGAAAATTCATTATAATTTCTCTTTTTCTTTCTTCACGTGTGTTCTCGTTTCGACGGAAAAATGGAATTTTCCATGGAAAGTGTTCTTCGCTCTATCTCTTTCAAAAGATAAAAAGATTAATTTTTATATAATCTCTGAAATCGTCGATATAGACTGTGATACACGAACGATGTCTCGTAAACCGCAGAAAACAATCAACACCCAAAGAGACAGCGTAGAAACACAAAAGGAATTTTTATGATCTTCCTTGAAGATTCTGTCTTCGCGATTCATTTAGATCTAGAAGATCGAGATTCTGTCGGTAACAACGATGTGCACAGCAATATGCAGACTTGGAAAAAAATAATTCTTAATCGATTTCATCGAGCATATTTCGAAGATGGTCTTAGAAAAATGATACGTCTTTGAAAAATCGTTTCGTCACGTATCGCTGGTTAAGGACGAACACGTAACATATTTTCATCACGAATAATAATGATTCATTATGGATAATAACGAATAATGAAAGTGACGGGTGAGATCAGAAAGATAGATTATTTTGCTCAGGAGAATCGATATCGATATGAAAATTGAATAATTGTAATTAAATTTGAAATTGTGTAACCTTTAAATCTATTAAAATTGTACGGGATACGGTCGACTTTGATAATACAATCCAATTTACATACTTTATACAATTTTGATGTTTTATGAGAAATTTAGAGTTATACGTATTTGAATTCATGCAAACATTACATTCACAATTATGTTATGTTTGAACATTTGTTATAGTGTCCAGAACAATATGGTTTATTACAACTGGTATTCATTTATCTCTAATTCACACAATATGGATACCTCAGATCTGTTTAAATCTTGAAACTATGCGAATTGCACGTATCTAAGATCTCTAACTATTACGATAGCAAACTTTTCACGAAGCTTGGAGCACACGTTTCAACAAGAGGCTATCAATCTTATGGTTATCGTGAAAATCGATCGAGTTAAAAAAAATCTTATTTGAAATACGATCCTGTATAAATAATTGAACGCCGTCTTGCACGACGATTAATGTCTAGTCTTGTTTGTTCAGAGAATTGAAATATTGAATTGTTTCGCAGATATATCGCAGATCATGGCGAAAAGTCGCAACTGGGACGAGTTGCAGTATGTTTGGACGGAATGGAGAAGACGTAGCGGCATGAGGATCAAGGATCTATATCAACAACTCGTCACGTTGAACAATGAGGCAGCCAAACTAAACAGTATGCTTGAAATGCTTAACTTGTGCAGAGATTCTCAAAGATTCCTTTGTTCTCTATGCTGTCCTATGTATTTTTATCCGTTGATATTAAATTTCATAACTTAATAAGAAAATTCTTGTGTTCGGCATCGATTCATTATCATGATTTTAGAATCTCTGCTGTGGCTGAAATGTAACTGATAATTGGAAGAAATTGTATCTATTATTTTTCTAAAATCACACAGATTTCACCGACGCGGCAGAATATTGGATGTTCCCTTATGAATCTCCAAATCTGCAACAAGATATCGATGAGGTTTGGGAAATGATACGTCCGCTTTACGAAGAATTGCACGCGTATATCCGAAGGAAATTAAGAGACTTGTACGGACCCGAGAAGATCGGCACTCACGCTCTCCTTCCAGCTCATATTCTTGGTATATACTAATATAATTTTAATTCTATATTGTTGTCACATTTTTAAATATTGTAAAATATAATTAAAATTAACAGGGAATATTTGGGCTCAATCGTGGACTAACATTATCGATATCACGATTCCATATCCGGGAAAAAATAACCTAGATGTGACGCAGGAAATGCAGGCTCAAGTAAGAGTTTATTAAATATTATATAATTCTTATCAAAATGGAATTAACTCCGTCAGGCTAATGAATTCAATCGTCCATTGTGTACCAGATAGAATCGAAAGTAACCTGTTACGGATTCGAAAGTAACGGTGAACCGAGTGAAGATTCGAGAAATACAATGTTTCTCTTATTCGAAATTTTTTATTTTTCTTTCTTTATCGTTCATTGCGTGGAAAATTCTTAGATCGTATAAAACTTTGAACCCTTATAAATTTCTATACGTTTAAATTTTCTATAAACACGTAATAAACATTCGTAATCTATTCATCACTAAAGATACTCTTATAGCGAAACCTGCTACTAGATTAGTTTAATTTTTAATTTCGCAATTATCTTTTTTTTTTCGTTTTTAAATGTACGATTGCAATCATTGTTACAATCGTTTATGATTCTTCCATCTTCAATTATGCCAAGAGACTTTCATGCTGCAATTTCTACATGAATTTTTACCCGAGATAAAACACGTACAACAACACGTTCATCGAATCTAATTAATTTTAATTGATTCCAATGCTTCTTTTTTCATCTGATCGAGATTAAAATTGAAACTGGCTAAAATTTGTTTAGGGTTACACACCTATCGAGATGTTCAGAATCGCCGAGGAATTTTACTTATCTTTGAACCTGAGCGCCATGCCACCGGAATTCTGGGCCGGAAGTATAATCGTCGACCCTGGAGATCGACCTTTGATTTGCCAGGCTTCCGCTTGGGACTTCTGCAACCGTCTAGATTACAGGTTACTTAATTCGCGTGTAAAAAAAAAAAAGAATCGAATGAGTTCCCTTTCGAATTTCGAAATCAATTTTATTTTCCTTACAGAATCAAGATGTGCACCAAAGTCACCATGAAGGATTTGATCACCGTGCATCACGAGATGGCTCATATCGAATATTTCTTACGATACAGCGGATTGACTCGTGAATTCAGGGACGGTGCCAATCCAGGTATACAAACGTCTCGTCTCCAACTTGGATCCTAATTATTCCTACGATATAGATTTAAATTTTAAAAAAATTCGATCACAAATTATCCTCCCCCCCCCCCAAAAAAAAGTGAACAAATAGGGTATAAACTTTCTCTTCTTTCGCGAAAATCGATTAATCACCAGCAAAATCAAATCACTATTATATCGAACATTCTTCACCGAGCGAAATAAATCAAATGCACAGGTGGTGGAAAATTTGAAGTAAATATAAGCACGAACGAGATTGACGAATAAGAAAGAACGGAAACGATACGCGATGGCATAATGGACGATACACGGTAGTTACGTAAGGAATGGGGTTCGACTTCCGGTAGACGGTCAACACAAGACGGTTGTACGGTTAATAGCGCGAAAGCGAGAGCGAGAGCGATACGGTCGAGGCGGATTCGCACGAGCACCGATCCGGTGTGTCCGAGTGGATGTGCAAGTACTCTCCAATCTGTACGATCGTTAAAATATTTTTATTATGGTATAATCGCGCTTTCACCGTTCTGCCGGCCGGTCGTTCGCCCAACGGAATAGACGCTATGAAAATAAATCGCGAACGATATAACTGCGACCTTGCATAGTCTCTTTGTCGAGGGACCTGTCGAGCCGGTTAAAATAAATAAACAACTCTGTTAATTGGCTCGATCATAAAGAAAAACTCGATGATGTATGGCAATCCTTTTCGTTTCTTTTTCTTTTTTCTTTTTTCTTATTTCTTTTCTTGAATTAGATAGTTAGAAAATCATCGATAATGGTGGGATTAAGTTGTCACTGACGAAAGTTATGATTCTGAAGTCTTTCACTTCTCGAGGAGTGAAAGAAGTCGAAAGATTTAGCGGTTGACAATTTGTCCTCCGTTTCTGTCCTCGCTTTCCCCGCGAGTTACACGCGCGTACATAGTAAAATCTTGGTTCGCGCAGGATTCCACGAAGCCGTGGGTGAAGCCGTGGCCCTTAGCGTCTCCACTCCTCGCCATCTTCAGACTCTAAGTTTGGGTAACAAGTACATCGACGAGTCTACGACGGATATCAACTACCTGTTCACTCTTGCCATGGACAAATTGGTGATGTTGCCGTTCAGCATCGTGATGGACAGGTGGCGGTGGGACGTGTTCCGTGGTTACGTAACCAGGGAAGACTACAACTGTCATTGGCACAGGTTGATGGAGCAATACGCCGGTATCAAGCCCCCTGTTTTGAGATCGGAGGACGATTTCGATCCTGGCGCCAAATATCACATTCCTGCGAATATCCCATACATCCGGTAAGTCTTTGAGTACAGTGATTGTTCAGAATTATATTATTGAAAAAATCGTCGAGGAAATATGCGAAATTTCTCCATCTAGAAGATGGAGGAACGATTTCACTGGCGATCGGCCTGAATTCAAAGTCCCGTATTGTATCATCCCGATGCATCGAGAGAAAGAGGCTTTCTCCGTGCCGGCAAATCTCGCGATTCGCCGTACAGATTCTTCGCGCATTCTTCCAAGAATCGTTGGATAAATTTTTCGGTTGTTATCGTTACGTGCACACGTTCGATGAAAGTTTCCCCTTCCCTTCGGCTATCGACGGATTAATAATTGCCGGCCAACTTTTTATTGCGTTCTAATCACCAGTCTATTTCCGCGTTAACGTATTCTCGCACATCTGGCCGGCTACTTTCGAACTTTTCCGGGAAACAGTGGCTCGTTTGTTACGGACGTAACGTTGCGTTACTGCGCATCGCGAAAGTCGATTCGAAGATGATATCGCGTGTTCGAGGACGCTTTCCTCGAGGAGAAATTGGATTTCCTCTTACGAAATTGGAAGCGAAAACGTAACACACTTGGATTCTTCGATCGCTAATAATTTGCAGAGATATTAGAATCCTCGTCGAATATCGATCGATCATGATTCGAGGATAGTGGAGATTTGGAGAAATATCGAAATGCCGTTAGATTTTTGCTCTTTGGTTTTATTAGAAAGAAGCGAAAGACACATGGTACACGGGCGTCCATCGAGCCGAGCTCGAATTAACAATTACTAATAATCGAACGCCTCGTGTGAATCTTTGTACAATACATCGTACATATATGATATAACGTATTCTTAGGTACTCAGGTATCAAAGGGTAATACTACGTTCTAAATAAATCACCGGCCGAAGAACGAGGATCCTCCACTCGAAAAACCTGCATCCACCTTCTCGTTTCTCTCTCTTGATCTCTCTTAATCTTCGGCACAGCATATAATATGCATATATTTCTCGGGAAATGATTACAGTTAGGAAATAAATATAACCCCCGTCGCGTTCGAATAATAATAAACTCTAATTAATCTCCAAGACGGAGAACAATTCAACCCCCGATTCTTCTAATGACCGCCGTAACTCGACTCGTAACCCCCCTCTAAACCCCCGGAATCTCCTCCGTATCCGTGATCGTGCACGTGCACGGGTACCGGCACTTTGACCGGATACGGGACAGGCTTGGCAATCGGAACCGCTACCGGCTTGGTGACCTGAACAGGTACCGGCCGTTCGACAGGTACCTTAACCGCATACGGTACAGGCTTTTCTACGGGCACCGGTACAGGCTTCTCGACCGGGTACGGCGCAGGTACGGGTACCTTGACTTCGACGGGTACCGGCTTCTCCACAGGCACTCCAACGGGTCTCTCGACGGGCACCTTGACTGGATAAGGCACAGGCTTCTCTACGGGCACAGGTACGGGCTTCTCCACCGGCACTGGATACGGTTTAGGGACGTGGACAGGGTATGGCCGTTCAATGGGCACGTTGACGGGGTAGGGTACAGGCTTGTCGACAGGGAACGGTTGGGGAACGTGCTCCACAACTTTGACGGGATACGGTACTGGCTTCTCGATGGGGTACGGCTGTGGTACTGGTACCTTGACGGGGTATGGAACCTTCTTCTCAACCGGATACGGTTGGGGCACGTACACCTTGTACGGCACCGGCCTCTCCACGGGTACTTGGACAGGGTACGGTATCGTCTTCTCTACCGGATACGGTTGCGGAATGTGAACCGGCACCTTGACCAGAACTTTGACCGGAACCGGGATCTTCTTCTCGACCGGGTAGGGTTGCGGCACGGGAACCTTGACCGGGTACGGTACCTCCTTTTCAACGGGGTAGTGGACCTTCTTCTCGACCGGATAAGGTACTTTCACGCTCTTCACGATCGTGATCTCCTTTACTTTGCCACCCTCCTCGTAACCGCCCCCATATCCACCACCACCACCACCACCACCGTAACCACCGATTTCGTATCCACCCCCATCCCCCCCGGATATAGCGATCTCGTGGCCTCCGCCGTAATCGCCGCCACCGCCGATATCACCGCCACCCTCGAAATGAGAGAGGCCTCGTTTCTCTTGCTTCTTCTCCACGCTAGACTCGCCACGAGCCTCCGCCCCCTTCGTGCTCTCTTCCTCGCAAAAAGCTGTGGCCAACAGGCCAACCAATATCATATGAGTCTGAAACGAGAGAAACGTTTAACACGATCTTTTGTTCTCTATTAATTTATATTATATTAATATCGAAATTTCGATTTTTCTCGATTCGAGTTGGGAGAAAACAGGTTGGAAAATGGAGTTGGAAAAGAATTTTCCAGAGGCACTTTTTCAAAGATATTCGCACGATACTCACCAAATATTTCATCTCTCGCGGATACTTCGATATCTGGTCGAAGTCCAGACTTCACTGGATACTTCCCCCCAAGATTCCACGCTCTTTATAGTCCGCTTTCCCCCGTCGCGATCGGTCCCGAGCCCCTCTGTCCGCGCTACGTTCGCGGAAAAGTGAAACACGCGCGTACGGGCGCGCGTAAGCGAGCGGGGCCCCTCGCGACGACGTTGTAGCATTTTTTTTTTTTTTCAATCCCGACCCACGTTGCTTCCATAACCAATGTATGTATGCATTGGCGTACCCGTTGGCGTGCCGGGGATTCTCTTCCAGGGTGAAAGGAAACGCTCACCGCGTGCGGAAGACGTGCCAGTGTTTACCGAAACGAACACTCCTCCTCTCGGCTCGCCTCTATCCATCCTTCGGATCGGTTAAATCGAAACGATACTGCACGTTTCCAATGGATTCTTTACGCGGGTTAATAGGTGGAAAAATTAGAGATCTCGCGATAAAATATGGAAGATATGAAAGATTTGCGAGATACGATGGACAATATGTGATAATTAAGATTAATTAATTGTTTGTAATTCGAGTAATTTAATTTCAACTTTGCAAGATATTGGTTATTTTTTGTGATTGTAATTCGTAATTCGATGTGACAAATTAAAGATATAGGCTGAATTTTCAAGAAGCGATGTAATTTCATTTAATGATTTTCTATTGTCAGTTACATTTGAAAGAATTTGAGAAGAAATTCAAAGGGCAGGTGTGTTTTAACGATGTTTGATTTGACTTGTTTTAAATGCGGTAAGAAAATGTTCACGGTAGACCGGTTAGATCCTAGAAACGCTGTTTGCCTGATGTTTTGTCTAACAGATTTTCTCATTCAAATCTCCATGTCTATTAAAAAATCGTTCGTAACAAATGACTCGATCATTTATTTATTACTCCAAGGATTACTGCAACTTCTTTCACTTCGATATCTTATACCCATGGATTCAAGAAATTTTCCTAATTGTCACCACCTAAACTAACGAATTCTTTAACGATCCTCTAAAAATAAAAATGATTCGTCTCTTTTTTTATTCCAAAGATTGTCATCATTGAGCATCTTTGGCATCAATGCTTATAACTCATAATTTTCTTGTAATTTTAATTTATGGATCAAAAATAGCCTACGTCTACATGGATTGAAGAATTCGCATTTCGACTTTCCAAAATTGAACGAGCTAATTTTTTTTTTTTTTTCCTCTTTTTTTTTTTCTTCACTACTACCACTATATTTTTTCTTCACTACCACTTCTATATTCCGAGGTTTCTTCGTCAAAACGATTGTCCCCTCCCTTCTGATCCTCACAGGAATGACGTTCCACCGATTGAATCCGCGACCACCAAGTCCTCTTTCGTGGGACGAAGAGAACGCGAGGAAGAGAGTCCGCGGTGGAAGGGTGAAATGAAAGAAAAAAAAAAATGAAAAGCGATGGAAGTGGGAATAAGGTGTGGAGGGAGAGGCATAATATATGATTTACATCATCACGCCAGTAAAGCCTTGTTCAAATTAATCAAGTCGCCTGAATTTGAGCGATTCGAATTCAAGAAACATATTATTCGAGTTGTACTCTCTTCCATTCCGTTATCCAAATTCTGCTTTCTCTTTTATCGTTTTTTTTAAAATCTTTAATTTCTCTTATTTTTTTTTTTTCGTTAATAAAAAATATTGAAGAGAAGACATTTTCTTTCGTGTCTAATTATCGCAGTTCAAACGAATTAAAGTGGAGTAACTCGTCTTACGTAAACGCAAAGTTGAAATCAAGTTAGTCGAATTGAAATAACCACACTGAACGTGTTATTTTATTTAAGGTGAAATGAACCTGTTATTTTATAAACTTGTAAGTAAGTATCCTTTCATTTCCCTTCCTAAATTCACTTTCCCTTTTTTTAATATAGCTCTTTAAAACTTCTAACAATTCAATTTCTACAATTTTTCCCATTCTTGCTATTGTTAAAATTGAACCAAAATTTCTTTCGTCATATGTTAAACGTTTCGGTTACAAGAACTCGAACGAATTAACCTTTTTTTTTTTTTTTTTTTGTAGACTCATGCGAAGGCATCGTTCTTGTAATACCTCTTTAATTTTAATCGTGTGGATATAACATATCTTACCCGCATATAATAGGTCGTTAGTTCTAATGTTAATTACAATAGAAAGAGTTAAAATCCAATAAATCATGTTAAATGAATAATACAAAGTTGAAGTTTCAAATTATTCAGAGCAACCGTTCTTAACTGATGAAACTACGTCTGAGAGATCGATCGTGTAGATGCTCAGCTCGAAACGCATCGATGAATGTTAATTGCATTACGTGCTCTCGTGCAGAGGGGGGGGGGGGGAGGAATAATTCGAGAGACTCGAATTCTGTTCCCTTCCTTATTCTTTTAATATACGTTCTGCTTCCGTAATTGTCCATTTGGTGAACTTACAAGCCGTCCGTTATAATGGGAATAAATTTAACGCTTATGCAACGCGAAGAAAATCAAATCTTTTTTAGTATCCACTGTATATGCCAACCTGATAATAATTCCAAAGCTGGAGAGCAGGTATGATAGTAACATCTATATGCAAATGTTATGCGTACTACTGGCTTTTAATTGAGGAATTAGATAGTAATTACGCGTTCTTGAAAGCGAAATAGCATAGGGGCAGATATAATTGCAGGAACATAGTGATACTGATTGATAGATTAGGTGAAACGTTTGCTAATTTTTATTAAATGATGAAAGTACGAATCTGTAAATTACTTGTTTTTAATTAAAAGATTTAATTGATTATATATCAATATTGACACGTATAAATCACTTTCTACAACCGGAAGATAATTTTACGTTGGATAATTTTTTGGAGATATTCGCTTTGTTCACGATTAAAAAAAAAAAAGAAAAAAGAGTTCATCAATGATTCTATCGTACGCGATGAAACGAAGAATTTGCAAATAAGATATTGATCAGACGATCTTTTCCTAGGAAAGAATGTGATCTAAAAAAAAGAAAAAAAACTACTCGAGAAATACGCACATCGATTACGCGCATCAACGAGTTTTCCGTGGGAAACTCATGGAACATTCACCCGTGAAATCGTAGATATTTAATTATCCGCTAAAACTATTATATGAATAGGAAAAAACCATCGTGAAAAAAAATAAGAAATAGGACTTATATAACAGTGAAAATAGATTTGCTTACATTAAACAAACAAAAATTATCACCATTTTATCAAACTTATAAACTAGAAAGATGAACATCTTTGCCTCTCTCGAGAATCGAGATAGACAGAAATAAATAAGACACAATAATAATAACATGTATAATAATAATACGATCATAATCGTGAATTCTTTCTACGTTTAATTTGATCTTTTTCGGGATCTATCCAAATTTTCATCGTTAACTTCGTGAGCATTGTCATTCGTATTAAGATCTTGTTTGTCGTTCCATTTTTCAGACTTAGCTCCCTCCCAGTCGAGATTCACTCGTACCGGCACCTGGACCCAATAAGGGAATGGTTTCTCTATCGAAACCGGTACCGGTTTCGGCACGTACACTTCGTACGGTTTGTCCACGGGCACTTTAATCTGAACGGGATAATGTTTCTTTACCTCCACTTTGATCGGTTTCTCCACGGTATATGGTTCCGGTGCAGGTATCTTTACCGGGACCGGTACCGGCCTCTCAATCGGTACAGCAAAAGGCTTATCGACCGGCACCTTAACCTGAACGGGATACGGTTTAGCCACAGGCACTGGATACGGTTTAGCGACCTCGACGGGATATGGTTCAGGTACTGGCACTGGATAAGGTCGATTCACGACCACCTTGACCGGTACAGGCACCTTTTTCTCCACCTCGTAGGGCTGTGGCACCTTAACCGGTACTTTGACCTCGTAGGGCACTGTCTTATCGACGGTATACGGCTGCGGTACCGGCACTTTCACCTCTATCGGTATCTTTTTCTCAACGGTGTACGGTTGTGGAACAGGAATCTCCACTTTGTACGGTACCGGCCGATCCACCTTCACCTCGTAGGGTACTTTCTTCTCCACGGTGTACGGTTCTGGCACCTCGACGGGTACGTCCACGAACACTTTTACTGGATACGGTACTTTTTTCTCGACCGTGTACGGTTGCGGTACCGGTACCTTGACTTCGTACGGTACATGTTTATACACGATATACGGTATCTTTTTCTCTACGGGCACTGGTACCGGAACCTTCTTCTTAACTGTTATCACTGGTTCCTGCCAGATATTGCTCCTTGGAAATCTTCTCCAATCTTCGTTTCCGCGTGGCCATTCTTTGAAAGACTTGGATTCGAATCTTCCGAAATATCTGCTCCAATCATCGGTGTCGTTTTCTGGTTCTTCTTCCATCGATGAGAAACGATTGTCGTAATTTAAATCACGATGAGGCATTATTCTCTTATTGGAATAAGATTCTCGAACGATCTTCGACTCGGTGGTGGTGTTTCCGCTTTCCAACGCTTTCTCCACTGCTCTTTCTGCAGCCCTTTCCGCCGCTTTTTCCACAGCCAATTCCGCTGCTCTTTCGAGATCCTCTTTTCGAGTTGCGGTACACGTCAGAACCATGGAGAGACATAACAGCGTGATGACACTTTGCTCCTGCGTGAAAATCAGATAAGAATTAATCAGAGAGAAAAACTTTTTCATGTGAAAAAGATGAAAGGAAGAGACGAAAGAGACGTAAAAATGATTCAGTCGTATGATCAATCGATGGGGTGGAAAACAAAATTGATTTAATATCCTCTAAATTATCTATCTTTTTCTCATTGGCGATTATATAATATATA